TCATAGTTAACAGTTTTTTGGGTTTTTGATTCTATATAATTTTTCCATTTTCTTGCGTAAACTTGTCTTGGAAAATTTGTCTGTGTGGTTTTTTCCTTTTGTGCAACCTCTGTAGTCTTTTCTCGCTCTTGACTAGTTTTAATTTGATCAGGGAACGTTGACTGTGTCATGTAGTTCCATTTCGTTTCTTGATCCAATTTTTCATGTGATATAGGTTTAGTTGCCACCGCTTCGTCAATGACTATTGAAGCGAAAAAAATTATTATTTTTCACTCTTTAATTGATAAATTGTAATACTTAATACCAATCTTTTTGTTATAATGCCAAATTAGTCTTCATATAGTATATAACTTTCTAAATTTAATCATACAAATAAGGGAATACTACAAATGTTTTTTCCATCAATTTTAATTTTGTTACTTAGTGTAAATAAATAAAATAATGGTAAGATGTATGTGAAAAATAAATTGGTTTTTATCTTTCGAATTTCAACACTTTCTACTCTCTTGTGATATTGCAAAAATTAGCTGATTCTGACTATATAATTATTGGTAAATATTAACCACGAGAGTGCCTTGACAAATTAAAAATATCCCTTAATAATTTTTCCAAACATGGCATTTTTCGTAGACGAAGTAATTTAAAAAAAAATCCTTTCATGTATTATTAAGTCGACATAATATTCTCATAAGGCTTTTTCAGAGTCTGACACTACACGAACAGCATTGATAATTCTGAAATAAATGGGATTTTGTTGAAAATCGAAATAAAAACCACTTTTTATCACAGTTGTGTTTTACTTGGTTGATTCAAACGTACCTTCATCAGGAATTATGAGTGAAGGTTCATTTTCGGAATCATAATGAACATTATCTCTGATTATAGTCATTGGACGACGATCAAAACTTCGAGCCCAACCACCTCCGCCTCCACCACCGCCACCTGAATAGTCGTAGCCACCGCCACCAGTTTGAGGTGGTGCGCCATAACTGTCAGCTGGAGGTGCTCCATAACTATTGCTGGGACCTCCACCGCCACCTCCTCCTCCTCCTCCTCCTCCACCACCACCTTGATAAGAGCCTCCTTTTGTAAGAAGAACAATTTCTTTGTAATTACCTGGACAATAAATAAGAGTAAATAATTATTTTTACAAGAAACGGGTAATAAATTGAAAAACTGCATTAATACTAACTTCCGCCTCCACTTCCTCCGCCGAAACCACCTCCACCAAACATTCCTCCTTTCTTGTTCATTAATTGCATGATCAACATCATTTTGGAAATCATCAATGACATTCCAGACATAATCATACTTTTCATTGCAGCCATACCTATCATGCCTGTGAATTGAAATATATGAGTTTGTCAAATTTCTTATAAAATTTATTTTTTAATTAACTTAATTATTTACCCATCATTTTTGCTTTCAATCCAATCATCATCATCATCATCATCTTTTTGCAGCCACTGCTTCCCTTCTTGCCACCTTTGCCGCCACCTTTTCCACCTCCTTTACCACCTTTACCACCTCGACCTTATTATAGACATAATATATAGTACTTTGATTTAAATGAAATAGTAAAACAAAATTAATCTAATAATATCATTGAATACGTAGAATAATTTGCTACAATTCTATGTTTAAATAGCAAATCAATAGTATTAGTTTTAATAATGTTAATAATGGTGTTTTAATTTGATTATCGGTAAGTAGAACAAATTTAGTACTATAAAAATATTAGAATTTATCAATTAATTATTAATTGTAGTCAAAGGAAATATTGAAGTAAATATGAATACCTTCAACAACCTCAACGTCATCCGTCATAAGATCGATTTGATTCTCTTTTCCATGCCATCTTGGCAAAGTAATTCTTAAAGCGAAAGAATCGAAAAATTCATCAATAGTGTTATCAATTTTCTCTCCAGCACTAACCATCGTCCGTTGTTCATCAATCCTCTCAATAGGTAGATCCTTCAGTCTAACGAGTTTTATGTTTTGTCCAAGTAATGTGATTTCCTTAAGTTGATTAACCAAATCAAGGAACCGAGCCACTCGTTTTTGCATGCAAGTCGCAGAAAATTCAACAATGCAGTGGCCGATTTCTTTGAAGGGGAACTTTGGAAATCCATCGTCTTGATCAGATGTGGTAATCGAATTGTTCACCGCAGGAACAATTTTAACGTCGACCTTAAGACCATTTCGTCGATAATTGAAAATCGATCTGCCCGTCGAAGATTTGATGGCATTTCCGCTCACTAAGGCTGCAAGCACAGCCAGCCATAGCATCGATCTCAACATGTGCGAGATAAAAAACAACAAACACTGCACACTTTGAAGATTATTCTCTATCTACCAGTCGCGTTGGCGACGAATAAACTGGCTGTAGCAATGACAAGACAATGCGCTTTTATATACAAGTGAATCCGTACCGTTTGAGGGATTTTTGAAGCGACCTTGTCACGATTGAGATTAGCGGGCTACGACCCACGGCTAAGATAGCTAACGTAATAATTGTGTTTTGGTGAAGAGACGTACTAGATTTTCCATGACTGAGTCGAGTTTATTATGTCTTTAGGACGATACTCGGAACTGCTTAAGAACTCGAATCCCACTTTTGACGATGATTTCGTAGACGAGACACTGTTAATATAGTTGGAAATTGATAGGTTTCCAGCTATTATTCGATACGTTTTTCGAACTAATAAAGTGCTTAAAGAAAGTATCTCAAAGATATACTTTATTCACAGAATAAAGAGGTTTATATCCATATAAGTATTAAAATCAATAAATAAAAATAAGGTTATTCAGGACAAAAACTGAATAACATTTTCATTGAATAAGTAAAACTTTATATAAAAATATATTCTGATAGTTGTAATTTAGACAAGATTTATTCATTATATCAATGATTGTAAAGACTACTAAACACATTTGATTAATCTACATAATAAGAATGTCATAAACAAATAATTTTCTACTTTATGTAGAAAAACGTATTTTAATAATCTCAACCTATATTAAAATATTTTGTTAGATTAAGTGACAATAATAAAGCAAGCTAAGCAAAGAGTATGTCTGAGTGTATTCATTTTATTATAAATTATATAAATTAAATAAAAGTATTTTAAAGATAACGTTTTATAGTTTTATATTCTAATATGGTTATAATATCATGAAAGAAATAGGTTATTACAACATATTCCACATAGGAAGAATTAGTCTTTTAGGCTTTACTGCAAATGGTGTTCCTTCTTGTTTGATTTTTAAATATAATTTTTTAAATTTAAATCTTATATCAAAAGCGTTTCGGATAAAAAATGTATACAATCATACTATAAATGAGTCGGTGATTGACTTAATGTCATAGAAATTTATAAAATATTAAAAGTCTAATAATGGATGATTTCTTGAGCAGTATATTTAAATTATTCGATGAAATATAATAATACAGGTTGAAGCATTATATTCACTTCCAAAAAATATAAATACTGACTTATTTCCAAGACTTCAAAATGTTGTTTACACGAAAGTATAACGTCTAAATATAAATTGTTTTGTTTCTCGTTGCGATAATTACGGTTTTATTTCATAAAAAAACAATGTATGACTAGTTCAGAAACTGGTTGCAAACTGGTTGTTTGAAAGAGTCAAATTTTAAAGATAGTCTTATTAATAAGAAATTTACAGAAAAACAATAATATCATATGAATTATAATTATAAATAAGAACTTTTTAAAGATTTTCACTAAGTTACGCTAGCCCAACCTGTATTTGCATTGTAATAATAAATAAATTACATATTACAATATTTTAGAATATAATATTTTTAATAAACAAATATATTAATCTATCATAATTATCTATGTAATTAGAATGAGCATTTACATAAATGCACAGATTATCTAGAATATAATAAATAAACCTATAAACAATAACTAGATCACGATTGGGAATTTTATTTTATTACTTTTCTTACGAGTATCAACACGGTTCAGTTAATAAAGTTGCCAATACACGCATTTGATTATTTTTCTTTTAAGTCTTTCAAGGAAATCTTTCCAACATTTTTTATTTATGTACAAGTTTATGGATCAGTAAGGGACTTAATAAGTTACAAATTCAAAATTATCTTTATTCACGTCGAATTTTCACAAACATACACATATAAATTCTAAAATTCAGTAAACACATATCAAATAAATAATCACGAGAATTATGTTACATCGCGGTGAGCGCAATTTTCTGCGGCTCAATGATGGGCGCTGCAGCAGCGAGCTTTTATGCATAAAATACCTCGGTGGCGCGCCTATAATGGTCGTTGTATAGCTATAGTGATCGTTCTGCAGTATACTTTCAACAATGAGAGGCACAGAAGCTGAGTAAGAAACATCCAGACAGAGAAAGGGGGGAGAGGAAGAGAGAGAGAGAGAGAGAGAGAGAGAGAGAGAGAGAGAGAGAGAGAGAGAGAGAGAGAGAGCAGGAAAGATGAAGTAGCGATCGAGATTAGCGATTGTTCTATCTTGCGAGGGGGAAACTCAGCCGCAGTAGTCAAAAAAAACATTCGCGCGACTAAATAACGAGGTGAATAAAAGTGAAGAGAAAGGAGAAAGAAAGGTGAGATTGTTTTTCTTTTATTTTCAAACTGCTAGTCAGAAACTCGGGCAGAATTTTTTTATATCTCAATATTTTTCTTTCTTGAATGAAGAAAAAAAATTTATAGTCTTAATCGCGCGCTACCATGATAGGCAAAGAAATTGAAAGAAGTGAGCTAGAAAGAGAAAAGACAAAGAGATATATAAAAGTACATGACGAATAAAAGTAGATCACAGTATTTAGCAAAATAAATATAAGAAACAAGAGCGAGAGGATATTTTGGAGGGTAAGGATATCATCTATATGTCTTTGGTATGACTAGTTACACTATAAGCCGAAACATTTAATTGTTTAGTTTCTTAAATCAATTCTAATTGAATTTCTAACCCAGTCATCTAAGTAGACAAAAGGATGTTTGATCAAGGAAAAAAGCAGAGCAGAAAAAGCAATGAAGTAACAGAGTGAAAAATAGAGAAAAGGAAAAAAGTACAGTCCTTACACAGGAAAGCAAGAAACGTCTTTTTTTAGTCACCGGTGACAAAACAAAGTGTTCACTCGTCGACATTATAGTACGGAAGTACGAAATCGTTGAACACGAAAAAGTCATTTAGAAACTGCGCTGCGCCTCACCCGCGGATTTCCGTATTGTTTGATGGCATCGTGTACGAGGTCGAGTGATCGGCCGTAACCGCCACCGTAATGGGCACCGTGTTCTTCTGAACTGTGACTGTGAGAAACTGAATGTACAGGTTTGGCGACTATCTCGTATGTAGTCTTTTTCTCGCCACTACTTGCTAATGATTTCAAACCGATAATTGCTGATAGCATGAGGGCCAATAAACCTGTCATTAGAGCTTTACCGGCGAGCATTGCTAGAGCACCAAAACCCAAAGCTCCTAGTGTTCCTTTCATCATCATTGCTGCTGCCATTAAACCACCCATGCCACCTTTATTACCTTTAGCTCGTCCTGAAAAAAAAGAGAAAAAATAAATTTAACTTTTTTATTTGCAGACGTTTATATAAGTTAATACAATGCTTGTTTTCGGGTTTTGTTAAGAGTTGAATATTTCATATAATTCTGCGGTTTGTGCTACATTAAAGCCAAAAACTGATGAAAATAAATTAATAACTAAACCTTAGCTTATTTTAACATTAAAAAGAATTATTTACTACAACAGAATTTTGTTTTGTAATAAATATTTTGCTTGTAATTAAGATGACTAAAGATTTTTTCTAAATCAATAAATCTTGAAAATCTAGAAAGTATATTTAGGAAATTGTTTACCATGGTACAAAAGAAATGCATCATGGCCTAATTATAAATATAAAAATTAATTATCGCATTAATTATCACTTGTACATTAGTTCCAGTTTTCAGAACCTGCGTAAAGATTTTATCTTTCTATTTTAATAAGACAAGGTAGTTAAAATGAAAAACGATAATAATCTGATTATATCACTTTCGTAATGGAAAGTCAAAGCGTAAACAAATAACGAGCTACATCCAAAAAAATGTAAATAAAACGTGGAATGCAATATATAGATTTAATTTGTCATCTTTTTATCGGAAATGTAAATCGCAAAATATAAAGAAACTTATTAAAACTACATTTTATGTAAAGATTTATATAAAAGAATGCACAATGATTGTTTGAATCGGAATTACTGATATAAAGTTAAATAAGTAAACCAGAGAAAATATCTAGATTATATCGCGGTGACTTGATGTGACTTAAATAGGTCTATCGTAAAATTAACGACACCGCGGAAGTGACCAGCGGCAACATTTGAGCACAGACATGATATAGCTCATTGATCGAAAATACAGCAAATCCATGATAGTCACTATGCCATTGGATTTCATAGATGACTTCGACGTAAAAGGCATCGATCTTTTCTCGATTTCAAACAAGTGTACCACTTTTACGTCAAACGAGGATTTTTTTATAGAGATAATTCCCCTGGCATCCCTAGTATAGTAATGTTACTTTACCCTCGAAGTCACTGTTAGCTTTGCGTACAGTTAACCCCTTAAAAGTGGTGAGCTGTTCAAATTTACTTTGTTTCTTGCAGCTATCTGATCATCGAGCACCCGATCTAGTTTGAATCATTTCATAGCTGCAAATAATGCGTCATAACTATTTAAATAAATTTTTCAGAATAAAATTTTTAGTTTACTTGAACTGATGTATTTTATTAATGTAAAAACGTTCATCTATTTTGTTCTGATGGAAAATCGTAATGTATAGTAAAAATTGAATTTTTATGTTAAGAATAATTCAATTATTAAAAAATTCTCTTATTTAAAAATGTATTCGACTATTCCACTTAATTTAACGAGACAATATTTTTGCCGTTATTTGAAGACGAATCCTCTTAATTGAAGAGGACTTCTTTTATGGCAAAAGTTTTTTCCAATGTATCACCGTCATTGTATATTTTTTTAGTCACTCTGGTTTTACTCAATTAAATTTTATTTTTTAAGAGAAACACAGAATAATCCTAAATTGATTTGTTACATCTTCTTTCTGATCCTACTACCGGTTATTAATTAATTGCTCAAATAGAGAAATATGCTCGGTCGATAAATTTTTCCTATCGCCATAAAAATTACCAAGCGTAAATTTGACGGTCAATAATAGTAGTAATAATAATAATGATCACGGTCAATATACCATCGTTCAATACTTGTTTAAAACAGTAGACCGTAAAACTTTAAAAGAGCATTCAATTTGAAGCAGCCACAAACCAGATTCGACGTTACGCTGTTCGCCAAGTCCCAATTGCTCCATTGCCGCTTCATTGAAGCTTCTCGTCGCCTCGAAAGTTCGCGGATCAAAGAGCTTGATTGAGATCGCATGACTGTTTAGGTAATTGCCAATCTTATGCATCAGGTAAGCGTCCATACGTTTATCAACGTCATTAGGAAATTCTCGCGCGAGATTCGCCACGACATTACCAGCAGGTGCCGTACTGTTCTGCTTCACTACCGTAACACCTGGCAGGATTCCTGAAAATATGAGTCATGAACATGAAAGATTTTGATACACGATTAAATAATTAATTAGGGTCTACCCGTACTAATTAAAGATTTGGTGGTGATTTTTTTATAGTAGTTTGTAAGGGATACTTTTAACTAAGTCAGTCACTTTACCAATGGGTCTTATTATCAAGAAGTAAACAGGGATTCAAGTAATATAGAGAATAATTAAATCAATATATGAAGACATCATTATAAAATTTGAATAATATAATTTTTTAATATTTCATTGATTAAGATAGACATACAACTATTGAAAACTTATCTATTAACAAATTTACATTCACAGTATTAAAGATGAATAAGAACTTAACCTTTTTTGCTTTTTAGTGCACATGAAAATTTTTTTATGAAAGAATTAGAGATAAATGTTCTTGTTTATTAGGAACTTTATATGTGTCTTATTATATTTAAAAAATAAATGTTATTTCTGATTCAAATACGTTATAACAATATATATCTTCAATAATTATTATAAAATTATTTTTTTAAATAATCTAGTTTTAATAGAATAATGGAATACTCATCTATTTATAATACGAATAATAACGTATAAACGAAAATATTCGGAAATTTATCACCGATTAGTACATGCAATTATAACTTACATGGCTAACATTAGCTATCTAAGTAAGACTAAGATAAAGATACTGTCATCCTTAAACAATAAAAATATAAGAGAGTTTTTACTTTTAAACTTTATCTTACCTATACTATTTCGTTCGGATAATCGATCCACAAAAGAAATAACATCGAGTCTCAAACACATTGCGCTATACCATTTACTGCAGTCCTTCTTCCACTTATCCATTGACGAAAGATTCGAATCATTTTTTGTATTGTCGATCATCTGTGCACTCGTCCTTTGATTGATCTCTGCTGCGGCATAGCCCACAATCAATAACACCAATACTAGCTTCATTATTTTTAAAAACTCTACAAAAAAAAAACAAAATGTTCGGCAAAGAGTACGACCGAGCCGCGAAAAGGACGAGAAAGCACTGGACATAGACAGTGCACGAGTTGCACTATATATACGTCCTTTTGCCTCTCTGTCACACACGCGCGCTCTGAGCATTAGAGAGAAGGGAGGTGCAGCATCATAAGCAACAGCAGCCACGGCGTCAAATAGAGCGGAGAATTCGAATCCCAGTCAAATTTACAAAAACTCGGACACGCTGCAGCTATTGTCTCTCTCTCTCTCTCTCTCTCTCTCTCTCTATCTCGCTCTCTCTTTCTTGCTCTTTCGCCAATATACTCGTATACTGATCTCCTTTGGATTGCAGACGAAAAAAATTTTATAGACTTTCATCGTAACTATGGCTCAGGAATGCTACAATTTACGAGCAGAACACTGTCGGTGTTCATTTCGGCAGTTTCTGTAAACGACCATGTCGTAGTTACTTGTTGCGTTGGGTATTGCTATTATTTTTAACTTGATATATTCCTATGTTAAATAAAGATATTGTAATTGCGGATGAATGCGTGTATTTTCGAATGGAAATTAAATGGTAAATTGGACTAATCCTAATGTACACAATATTGATTTTAACTTATAGAATACATATTATGTCGAAGTTTTTGTCATTAATTTGTAATATTTAAAAATCGACAGAGAGAGAGAGAGGGAGAGAGAGAGAGAGAAAACAAGATAGTAACAAATAAGATTTTTTTACACGATCACAATAATTATGTAAAAATTGTCTAGAATTGAACTCTTTAATAAATATTTATTTTGAATTCGTCGTAATAAAAAGGACAATGATATTCCGAAAAGTGATATAATTAATCAGCTCATTTTTTTCGTTTAATTTTATCTATATAAACCATAACAAACTTTAGGATGTAAACTTCAATAGACAAAGAAATTCATATTCAACTACTTGAAGAAATAGTGTAGCTATGCATAAGTTTATTTTAACAACTATCCAATTAGTTTAAAGATTGTGCACCTATTATTGTCTATGAAATAAGTGATACGTCATCAAAGGTTATTAATCACAGAAATGGGCCGAATATTTAAAAAAAAAATTATTTTTATTAAGTGGAAATTAATTATTTGCAAGTTCCGTCAGATGATTTTCCGCTTTACTTATAAAAGGTAGCCGTTTAATTTTTCTATTGAACAATTTTCGGTCAATATCTTCATATTCATAAAACACATCAGTATCAGATTATCTCTAGCATTACTTACATGTAATCTACATAACAAATCATAAATACATAAAAGTAATTTGTTACATAAAACGAAATTTTGTAGTAAGATTTACAGTTGACTTCACACTTAATTATTTTTCTTCTACTTTGAACACCTCTAACTAAAGCTGCATTTGAAAATTATGTCTGCAATAGCTCCAAAAACGCACTTATGTCGAACATTCTTGACCTATCTTTCGTAACTATGGTAGTTACTTACTCACAAAGAAAATTGAACGGTTTAAATCTGCAAGTAAAAGGAGTGTAGCTGTAACACAATGACTTTTTTCACTTTTTTGAACTACCGTATTGTGTATTTGATTTATATATTACTTTCTGTTCTAAATGAATTACAGTAGGAATAATAATGCTAAAAATTAAGAGCACAATCGTTTGTTTCTATTTCTAAAAAATCAATAAAAATTATGATCAATAGTATAAAGAAAAAATTTTTATTCATAAAGGAAAATAAGTTTATGTTTTCTCATAATCAACAAAAACATACATCAAAATTAGCATGTTTTCAGCTATTTCTGTCTGTAAAAATATTTTCAAATAATTTAATAGTGTTCATTGTGCTTTTTCCAATATTAAATTGATAAAAAATGTTATAGAACTTGATTGATTTCTTTTCCTTTTTTAGAACAATCAAGAAAACAATGTGCGTTGAACAGTAAAAAATTGGGTTAAGTCTTACTATTTTAAACCTTAATAAAACTACAAAAAAATAAGAAAAAAAAACACTTCAATTCGAATTGTTTTCACTGAAAACATAAAAACATCAACTTGACTATCAACTTTCGCTCTCATCGCGTGCTAATTTTTTCCGCCCTGAAAGCTTTTTTTGTCCCAGAGACTAGAAAAAAAGACCACAGAGCCTACTTTTAACCGGGCTACAGCGCCCCCTTCATATTGTCTCGCAGGCGCGAGAAAGTCCGCCCGGGTTGATTGCAATGTAATTGCCGTCGCCTGCACGCGTGCGATTACATAGCGAGATTGGACGTGACGTACACGTGTCTCTGCTACATGAGTTGACATCTCTTTTAGAAATCCGTTCATACTTTAATGGTCATATTATTTTTGAGATACAGTTTACTTTTGTGGAAAGCTATCTCCGCTATTATCGTTTATAATAGTTTCTAAGATAAAATATCTATGCTTAGTTTACCATTTCATTTATCTATTTATTATAGCAAGTTTATTTAAAATATAACAATATTGTAAATAAAGTTTTAAAAATTATTTTTATATCACAGTAATTAATGTCTTAGGCTTTGAATTTTAGAGTAATATATTAGAATTAAGTGCGAGTTCAAATCCGCAAATAAAATGATTAAATTTTATGCTAATGCTTGCTTGAAAATATTCTATAGTTACCAATACGGTGGTGCCCTTAAAGCTAATTTATCGAATGTATATATGTATCGAATAATATAAAAGTAAAATAATAATAATTAAAATGTGATTGATAACGTAAGACCTATTTTTGCTATCTGGTTTAAGTGATTTTTAACGTACTTTCAATGGCATTAATTTTTGTCCATAACAGCAAGAAAAATAATAAAAGCCGCAGAGCAGACTTGTAGTATTGGCAAAATAATAAAGACAATCACTGGGCACTTCATGACTCCTAGACCAGTGATAACTAGACAGTCGACATCTTAACTCACAAATCTCTGATTAAACAATGTTATGCTTTTTATTAATTTACCTTCTATTCTTTTACTTCTTTGGATATACATTAAACGTTTTAACGTAAGTATGAAATCTCAATATACTTTGGCAGAATATTATAATTATAAATATTACGAAAGACGTTTGTTACTATGTTACACTACTCTTTCCATTGCCAATTTGGCCAGGAATTTATACAACATACAACCGTTATTTGACACTAAAATTATGTGCATTGTGAAACTCAAGGTAAGATACTTAAGGTATACTTTTCTTAATTTTAACTTTAAAAAATGTAAATTTCAATATCTTAATATCACGTAAGTATTCTACACATTTAAGCATTTAATTACAAAAGAAATAAAGAAATGTATAATCTTTTAAATAGTTCTTTTAAATTGTCGAGTAATTTATTTTTATACATATAAGTGTTAATTATACAATTATTATAACTATAATAAAATCTTTAAATTTTTAGTGTATAAACAATGTATATTATAGAAAATAAATATAATATAGCGATATTTAAAAAAGTAGATTTCTATAATTTTTTTTGGAAAATGTAGAGAATTTGATTTATATTTAAACAAACATTTAGTTTCTCGATTCTATATTTAGTTACCAGAAAAGTTGGATCATTGAAAATTTCATGAAATTCAGGAAATACTTTAAGACCATAACAGCAATCTTACTGATGTTTTTACAGACGTTTAATTTAGGTTTATAGGATCAACTTGTCAGAATAAAAGGAAATGTCACAGTTATAAACTTATAAAAATATTCTACATAAATGTTATTTATGTTATTAAAAACTGAAATATGCACAAAAAGTAGATTCGAATACAAATTTCTGAAGTTCAACATACTAAACTAAAAGATTATTATTTAAGTTGCTACAATTTATCCATAAGAAATATCTTGAGTGCTACATATATAAATAATTTTTATTAAAGGGATTTTTTATTGAAGATAAGATTTAGTCACAATACGATAAACTAATGTCTTTTTATATACTATTTCTACGAGTAATTGCAAATCAGAGGTTACTAGCTTGACCAAAAAATTGGAAAATAAAAAGCATGAGTTCTTTGAATAAAATCTAGAATTACGATAGCAGCGATTACAATGACATTGTTAAATTTAGAATTATGATAAATGTAGTTACTAAAACTGTTTTTTCAATCAAAATAAAGACTTAGTATACGTAATTTGATTACATAGATGTCAAATAAATATTAAAAAGAAATAAAGTGTAAAATTTAACATCGACGATGATTATTTCACTTTTTTCAAAAGATAAATATGGTTAAGTTACAGTGATGAAAACTTCATGAAAATAAAATTTTTTGTAGTGTCATCGGATTCTTATCCAGGTTAAGTTATGTGATAATGGCCAAGCTTAAAATGACCGTATTTTAAAAGATCAAAAGCCAATACATTTATATAGCGATTATATATCCGTATGAATTTCTGATGGAGATGAATCTGATAGAGATCTAATGAAACAAGTAGTATAATATTATGAACAAAGTTCATTATAAAGCTCTTAATTATAATGTTCTACCTAAGTCAAAAGAGATTTCATACCTACATTAAAAATAAACGACATTCTTCTAAATATTATAAAATAGTTGTTTGTTCAAATAACAATTGAACTTTTCTTATATATCAAAAAGATACATGTAAAAAATATACAAAATCTTTTTTATTAACTTATTTGCAAAAATGGCGTTTAACCAGATTTTAAATTCATTTCAACAGAAATCTATAATTAATCTGATTTATTGGTCTTTTATACAAATATGGAGCTATTATTTAAGCTATATATGTATTTTTATACATAAATAATGTATAAAACAAAATACATATACTAAATTTAATAGCATTTCATAATGACTTTGTTCAATATCACCAACTCCGGACTATCGTGGAAGTACGCCACAAATACGGCAACCTTACGTACTTCAGTGTTTCAGTGGCGGTATAGGAACAGATTCTGATCATTCACTTCGCTATTTTTTCTTCCTTGGTATCGATGTACTTTTCGTAGACCATGTTCTATCATAAATTTATAATAAAAATTACATTAAATTCATGGCCCAGTCGTCTTATTTCGTTCAATTTCTCTCATCTCAATAGCTGTTAATGCAACCGGTGTGTCAGATGGGTGTTATTTGTTACAATAGATATGACTTGCTATAAATCATGGATACTGTTTCAAGTGCAATTATGTGGAATTTAGTGCAGAGAAATCATAATGCACTACTCTTTATTTTTTTTACCTACTAAAGTCAATCGATCGTATCAGCTCATTATATGTGAACAAAGAGAAAACACTAAAGATATGCTATGCTATGCATATCTTTAGTATTTTTATTAAGTTATTGACCATTTCTTTACGAGCTTACATGTAAAAGACTAGAAAAATACGTTAAATAGTAGGTGATAATAACAATTACATACACTATTTTTTTTAATAAGTATTATATTTTATTATACTGATCATTCACTACTTAATTTCTAAACTTGAAAGTAAAACTTAAGATCGACCTTAAGTAATGTTTTTAGAAGCGTAATAGTAATAATGAATATAAATCTATTTTCAAGATTCTATGTTGACAAATTTGCCTCCTTGTTGTCGCCTAACATAAGTGTGGTGATATCGTGGACAAAATGTACAATTTGATATAATAGTTTTGTACAATGGCACCGACTCCATTTTATCTTATTTAAACAGAATGCTCATTGAAAAATAATTTTAGAAAATTTGCTGTCGTACATATTGAGTTTCAATTGCTTAACCAGATTGATAACTCATAGCTCTGATAGAGACGAAATCGCTGTCAAATTTTCCGGTGTTAAATATATATACGTTATCAAAAATATATATTTTTGTAAGTAAATCAATTTATGTTATTAAATAATATTTATTATTGCTAACATGCGTGTCAATTAATAAATATAAAAGAAACTGTGTTGAAGAAGTATCTGAACAAAATATACGTGCACATGTAACGTAATAATATTGAATGTTTGGAAGGTACTTTACACAACATGTGATGTAAAAAAAGAATAAAAATATGAAAAAATGTTTTTTTTTTATAATTATTGAGAGAAAATGTACTTTGCTAAAGTATCGGTTTTTCGATAATAAAATAAATAAACATGGATATATATAACTCAAGTGTTTTTTATTATGAGTCATGCAATATTAAGTGCCGAATGCATAGTTTATTACTCATTATTCAAAACAAAATAAGCTCTGACAGAAGTCAGAATAAACATTAATGGGGTTCCTATATACTACTATACAAGCCGTTAAAAGTATCGACGTAAACAATGTTAGCCTTCGGTTATAGCTGGGTGTGAGCCTTCAACTTGGCATTCGATCGAATAACATAGGTAGCCTCGGGAGCGAAGGAAGGCAACTTCGACGCGCGTACACGGCCTCGCTCTTTTCCCCTACTACTTTTGTAGTCCCGTTCACTACACAACCGATCCCGTTACCTCCACCTCTACCTTCTCGCCAACTTGTGCACGCCGTGGGGAGGTCAGTGACATACTAACCTCGAATTGTGACCGCCAATCCCAAGTGTAGGTACCTTCGCTCTTGACCCGCTTACCGACTTTCGCTCCACCTGTTAGTCCGGTTCCCCTTCTCTAACGCCAGTTCCCCTCTCGGCGCGAGAATTGTTTTTTGTACGTACCTTTGTGGCGGTGAATTATGGAAAGTGTTTTCGTGTGGTTTTGCTGATATGCCACGCTTCGTTCGAGAACTGTCTTTGTTGTTATTTTTGTAGGGACTAATGCATCAGAAAAAAAAGAACTTTCTTTTGTAGCGAAGAAATTGAAAACTAACGAGGAATACGGTCAGTTCATTTGCGTTTTTCTTTGGGCAAAACAATTTGTCGCAAAATAATTACGCGGTGCTTTTATTTATAAGCACTTCGAAGATAATTTTGATAATATTCAAATATACGTGCTATTGTTTTATGAACCAAGAAACATTTGCTGAAAAAAAAATTAGTAAACGGACCGGATTTTTTTATAACACATGATGCTAATGATTCACAAATGATCTATAAGTCATTTGTTCATAAAAACTAAATTACTTAAGTATAATATTGTACAAATGACGAAATAAGGGATTTTCCTAAATTTATTAATATTCACATTTATACGATGTTTTAATTAAAGTAATCAAAAAAAGAAAAATTTGCAATTATCCCAAGCAATCCCGTCGCTTGACTCTCAAAAATACTTTGAAAGAGTTGCAATTTCGCGATACATCTTCACTTTCTACAAATCTCACAGCATTTCGGGTGAAACTTGAAGACCAGCAGACACCCTACACAAACTAGAGAAAACATCTCCGAAAGAGTGAAATCGTCGTATTTAAACTTAGTATCAGAAAGGTAATTAAAAAGATAAGGAATATAAAAGGATCGTACTCGCATGTCCTTTATCGGAAACTCTACTAGGTCAACAGTGACTTGTAGTTATAATTGGTAACATGATGGTAAGCTATGCATATTATATAGACATGTATTCCCAACTTAATGGATAATGTTTTGTTATCACCTATAATTATACCTATATACTACGTTTGACTATGTGGCGTGTACATTCGCTGAGGCAATCAAGTGCGCCACTATGAGAAAATATGCGAGACTTTGCTTGGCTTCTTAAATACCGTTCGACATGTGAACAATGTGCTGGTGTGTATATGTTACTTGTATATGTGTGTATATGAGATTTTTTTTTTACGATTTACTGTTTTATTTAAAATTTGCTATTGATTGATCCTGTATTTTTGTTTCTAATTATATAATTTTTCAATGTCAATAAAAAAATTATTTTTCAGCTCTAAATTAAATTTCTACTAACTTTATAATAATAATAATTTTTATGTACAAAATAAATTTATCTATAGGATCAGTACAATATTGTGCTGAAAACCCGTCAATTGATTAAGCATTCCGTAAATCTGAACAATTTACGACAAAGTCAAGTGAACCGTTGTTTGGATACTGCGTGTCTGTCTGTTTCTAAAACGGTTTCCCCGAGAACGGTCAGGATCTATTTGAATGGAAATTCTATATAAATCATCGATGCCACGTTGGAACACATAGCTCGTAATCAATGCACACGCTTACGGTGTTCTGCCTCTCTCTTCTGGAATTTTTCACAAATACTGCTAATGAGTTGCAGGTTCAATAAATACAAAGAATGTAAAAATTAACAATGTTGTTTTCTTTATTCAAAATAAATAATAAATAAATTATGGAGCTATCGATAAAAGCGCACATTTTGTGTCCAAAAAAATAAATAAATTATCCAGTATAAATTAACCTAAGCTCGGAGGTCACACATCCATACATCGTCAATTGTCATTACATTCAAGGAATCTCTTGATAAGATTCATATTGAGCTGATGGACTGAATTGTACCGTAGGGTCGTAACTGAATTCAGGACTCCAAGCACGATATGGTTGTGTAACAATGGGTTGATCGTCAGCAAGTATTTGTTGTGAACGATGCCAATTTTCATGGTAGAGGTCATATGGTTTGGAGAAACTTATACGTGCTGGATAGGCTGGAGTCGATGGTGTCAGAAGAGCTTTCAAAGCTACTGCACCTGATAAGAGAAGAGCTAATACACCGGCACCTAGGCCTTTAATGCCAATAAGACCAATCAGTGTTATGACGATTGGCAACACTATGGCAGCTTTCAGTTTGAGGGCTAACAGGATTGGCAGTAAGATCTTCTTGACTTTTGTACGGGCTGTAACACAAATGATAAAATATATTGAATTTTGATTGTTACCTTGAGATGTAAGTCGGTAGTCAATAATGAACAGCTAAAATTTTTAAATATTAAGAAAATCTGTAATAACAAACTAAAAATGAATAATAAGCGACTTTGAAACAATTATTTTAAGAAATATCGTTGCTAATATATAAAACATTTAACGAAGACTTTCGAAGGACCAGAAAATATTTCTAACGTTTGCTACCTAAATATTGAAGATTATTATAAGATTAGTAAACATAACAGATTGAATTTAATTTATTGGTTTCATTATAATCTGTAGCATTTCATATAAGAGAGGAATTACACTTTGTTTTATTAAATTTAAATAATAATTTATCATTTTTTTTAATAACCATTTTATTTTATCTGAAAACTATAGTACATATTTCTATTATCAATTCATTGATAGATTCGTCAATACCATAAAAATTCCAATACTTCTTTGATCATTTTCATTTTCTTTCATTAAGTAAAGACAGATTGTTATTTATAAAATAATCTTATACGAGTGAAAGTCCATTGTCTGTTACTTTTAAACCTAAAAACCTCAAAACGTTGAACATCATGCAGACCCCTAAAAGAGAAAGTCGTTCCCCTAGTTTATTGTTGTAGCCCGAAGAAACTACATTATAATCCATTCAGATATTTCTTTAGTATTATCATAGAAAAATTACCAGAGAATAGACAATAATTAAATGAATTTGTTTAAAAAAAGAAATAAAAAAAAAGAAGGCAAAGAAGAAAGTATAAAAAGGGAAAGAACGAAAGAATGAAAAGAGAATGCGGCTGAAATAAAACAACGGATGTCAGGTGTCCTCGAGCCTACTTTCATCTGGTGGAACAGTGCTGGCACGTTCTCTTTCAACGTCTTGGCTTATAGCACTTCCTCCTTCAACGCTACAGCATCGACAATTCGTCCCACATACCCGGAAAATCTTCTCTTGCCCGTACACACACACACGCGCGCGCGCACGCACACACACATGTATCCTCTTCTCGAACATTAGCGACCTCCTTAGGATATGCGGAGGCAAGAACTGACACCAATTGGGGTCTCTGCATTCCCGAAACCTTAAGGAGAGTCGTGCTATTTACGTTTGCGTACTTATTTAGAGGCAAACGTGAATTTTTCATCACATGCGTATTTATATATTTTAATAATTAAACGGAACTCATTATTTCTTTAAAGTTTTGTGGTATTTTTTATTACTGTGAATCTAAATTTGAAAAATAATCGTAGGAGCTATGGTATTTTCATTGTTACTATTTTAAGAAAGACTTTATATCAAAATGTATTTTTAATCCTGGTTTCATTATATTTTAGGAAAATATATTTTTGTTTACGCTTCACACAAGCAATTTACGAATATTGTTGAATTGAAAGGAATGAATTCTAGAATACTAAAATTTTTGTCAAAACTGATTGTAAAACATAAATTTTTCGAAATAATATAATGGTAATGCTACTGTAAATATCTATACGTCAACATATATCTACAATTGTAAGAATAAACAAACTTTCATAGATGAATTGCACCTGTGTGCTAAATAATCATCTTTGATTCAATCAATTTTTTTAAATACTTACAATAATGGCTTTAATAGATTGAAATTGTTTGAAATTATCATTAATGTACGGTGCAAATATATCAAGTAATTAGAAAAAACAGAAAATACCAATCAATTTTACGAGAATAAATTTCGTTGATAGTTCCTACTGATAATATTTTATAATACAAAAAATTCTAATGAAAGTACAAGTTTATTGCGGATATGAAGTTATGGATTTTCCTCAAAGCATGCTTTTATAAAATATTAAGAGTAAATTATGGATTTTTTATGTCATAAAGCACAGGTTGACATGAAGTAAAATTTACATTTGAATACCGTGGGCGTGATGAATATCTAAGAAAATAAGCACTGTTAGAAGAATACGATAATGGTGTTTACGAAAGAAACACGTGGATAAGAATAGAAAAACGGTATAGAGTCGATCTACTTAAAACCAACCAATTGAGAAGCGAGAGGTAGACCTACTTTAAGCTGATTCGTTGCTGGGTCAACTTCAGCGTCACTATATAACCGAGGCTCGTGGTATCCGCGTTGGTATTTCTCGATCGCACATTCAATTGATCAAACATACTTTAAATTAAATAAAATTTCCTCTTACATTTTCAGTACAAAAACGTGTTTTCTACAATAACTAATTTCTTTTTTCATCAAATATTTTTACTCGGAATAAGCAATTTTTCAAACTACAGTTTCTTCTTGTTTGTTTCTTAAATTAAAGATATTAATGTTTCAGACGGTAGAAAAATAACAATTTTTTGCTTCTTATATCTGCATCTTGTAATTTATGTTCTGATTAGCAATATATCAAGATGATATGTTAGTAAGATGATTCTGAATTCCATGCAGTAATCAAATATTAAAATAAGTTCTTTTTAATTATTTTTTTCTTTTGATTTCATGAAAGTAAATTCATCTTACTCGGAACTTCCTTTTTTTGTCGTATTATCATATTTAATTCAAACGCCCGTATAATTTTAGTAAAATCAAAGCAGCTGCTCTCTTTAATATAATACTAAAAATTATAGTCTCATCACTTTTTAACTGAATTGCTCAATATATGCTGTTAGGTTACACTTATCATTTAAAGAATTTTTCTCATGATATGCATTGTAAATTGCAATAAGGCATCAAGTTTTCTTTTTATGGCTGAACACTTGAAATTCATGGCTTTGGTACTTGGTGGATAACATGCAATAAAAACATTTTACTTGGAATATAATTATAAAAGATTCATACACAAATTATTCGTTTTTAAGTTTTATATTAAATGACAATTAACATAGAATATTATAAAAAGAGCAGAATATATTCTAATAAAATTAGTTTTGATTTTTGAAAAAATGTATGAAAAAATGTAACTATCATATGATAGTCTATAAGATTATTTTGTTACGATTGATCAGAGTTGTCGATTAGAATTCAAAATTCTAATTGATAATTTATAAAAGACTCTGGTGCACGAAGATGATTGAAAAAATGTATAGGCAGATGAAAACCCTTCGTTTATTTACAAAAATTCATTTTCACGTTAAATTGAAAATAGGTATATGTTTCAATGGGTTCATTGCAAACAATTCATTTATATCCTTTAAATTATTAAATACTTTACAAAGAAAGTATCACTTCTTTGAGTAACTCATTCGACTAGTTTTGAAGAATTTCCGATATATCAAATTATGTACAAAGCTTAAACCATTAATCTAACATAAGCTTTTTCCATAGTTACAAGCTACATTCATCGAAACGATCAAAATATGTGACTGCAGAAATTGTATTGAAAATTATTTTGAATGTTAGTAAACAAAAGCAGATATTAAATTCATTTGCAAAAAAACTGTTCAATTCTTTTCAAGAAATTTTTTACTATTAAAAAGTCCATTTAACCTAGGTTGGTTTGTAAAATATTATAAAGCTTCCTATTTCTAAGTTTATAAGCTATCTCTACAAAATAGCCATGTATTTTAAATAATTTGACAAAAACCATTTGTCATTATGATAATATAATCGTGTATTTAACCGAATGGCTATGACGATTTACATAAACTTTTAAAAAATGATATAAAAAGAGAGTATGAGGAATTTCGATTCACCTAGGTCATGTGATATAGTTCTTCGTGAAACATTGAAGCGTATTTGGAAACATTTAATTCTAGTTAACTGCTTTTAGATATTGATCTACATTCGTTTCATAACTCATCTAAGCGAATTAGAATTAAATAAATAAATATAAAAATTGATTTCGTTTCTAAATTTTGATTAACTTCCGGTTATGACTGTTTGTTATTTGCTTATTATTAGCTACCAAGTGTAAAAAAAATATTAATAAACCATTTCAATAAAATTTTTCTCATAAATTTTCACAAGATACAGTTAGATTAGTAATGCATAAATATGCAGGTGTATAAATTAATTTTATTTTTAAATTGAGGCTTACCTTCTGAAGCACCGTGAATTAATTCTCTTAATTCGAAATTATAATTCTTCTCTCCCAATGCTCTACCAAAGTAATCAGCAGATGATCCATCATCAGGAAATTTGATCTGGAGCCTTCGGGTTCTTAGAAACTCATCAATTCTCTTCAATAACGGATCAGTTTCCACTTGTCTAGCTTCACTCGCTTCTTCCGCTTCAGTTTTTTCCAGCCTGACTATATTTCCAAATATATCTATAGAATCTTTTCGATTCAGACTGTCCATAACCGATAAAATATTAGCTTTATAATTATCAGTCTTGGTTTCTGGCCTGGGATTCGCGAGAGTGAGATAGCAGCATGCTAACACACCAATAAAGACTTTAAAACTAGTCATTATCGAAAAGAGTATACTTTACGGCAAAAAAAAACTACCACGACTGTGCTTCACAACTACCAGAGCCTCCGGATCATTTTATTTCTTTTATATCAATGGATATGAAGCCTATGGGTGGGGCTCATACACGCGAACCATTTGGCAAGCGTCGTCGTACAGTGCAAGTTACGTTAAGAATATCAATGATGTTCGACTGAATTTTTATGGAGAGACATGCCAGCGCACAGCGCATCCTAAATGTCCACTCTCGGAGTTTTTCCTTTTACGAGGTTCACTTTCAAGTGGATCCGCCTATAGAGCACAATGCCGAAACTCCAACGACTAATTTTGCCAGTCGGACCATGTGTTGTCCGACTTCTTACCTTTTCACTTGTTTCAATTGTATGCATTTCAGTTCCGTCTTTTTACAGTCTTCAATAGGTATAAAAGATTTCATTTGAATAATAGTGGTTTTAATTTGTTGTTCTATAGCTGACCTTTTCTTGATAATGATCGAACGAAGCTCCTTAATAAGAAGGAATACCGAAATTTCAACTTAAAAAAAAAATAAAATTTATTTATAAAATTTATTTGAGAACACAGAGTACAACTTATTTTGGTATGTCAAGAGTTTCCGCTTTAACTTTTCCAGTGTTAATTAGTTTTCTCTGAACGTCGCGACATACTGGAGCATGCAAACTTGTGTCCTATATTTTTCTTTTAATTTAACTAAAGATGTACGTGTACATGCGCTGTAATATTTTTTATGAAATATGAATGAGGAACAGCCGAAAACAATAATTAAAAAAATATTTCAAATTAATCATTTCTAAATCAGTAGTTTTCGAAAAACTGTATTCATACGGATTTAAAATTTCAATCTATTTTATTTAATACTTTCAAACAAATATTATGCTTCTGTTATAAATAAAGTAGCTATATGAACATTTTGCCAGAAACCACAAGAATGTACGCAAATACATATAATATGTCTTGTTGCGTTATTCAGAAAATATAACTAAATTATTCACGTTTATAACTTTTTAATAAATTTTACAACTATACGTATATATTCCAAACAAAATATTTCCACGTTAATGCATCGGCCTTGTCTCCAAATCTCCTGAAATAGTCTTGTAGTCTTGTTCTTGAATAATGACATCACAAATATTCTATAGCTCTTTGAAATAAATTAAAATAATGTTCAATGACGCCACAATCATTGCTTTTTTGTATACTTTAATTATGTTTTTAAATAGACTTTTATAGATTTGGTAATGAAGGCTTTCATTTTGTAGAATTCACAAAGAAAAATTATTTTGAGCTAGATTTGTATTGATATTAACTCTCTATGGAAGATTACCCCCACTCCAATGTTTTTACTGCGAATACTATACTGATTGTGAGTACGCGTAGATATTGCAGTCAGTCACGGTACGAGTTGTGATAACTACGTAGTCATTGAGTGAAGCCATAGATAGAGTGATAGAAAAAGTAGTAGAAAACTGTTACAGATATTTTGTAATATTTTACTAAAAAAAGTAAATTATCGTGTACGCGCTTAAGATTGAAAGCATACTTGTTTTCCTAACCTGTTTAAAGTAGAGCTTTTAGGTATGGAGTATAAAAAAGAAACTTTAATACTTGAATTTTACCGTATCTTGTAAAAGAAATTTAGGAGAAAAGCAATCAAGTCAGTTGACAAAATATATGATCCGATGAACAGCACACGTTGCTATTATTGAATTTGAATTTTTAAGGACCTTAACGAATTAGTTAACGAAACGTCAAAAAGGGTTTTTATCATTTCTTTACCTACATCATCGATCAAACTCAATTTCCTTTACATACAAAAATAGTAAGTGAAAAGAAATCATAAATTTATTTATCATATCTCGTAGAGGATACAATTCCACTATCAATGTTACTCATTCTGAATTTTCTCATTGCTTTAGACCATTATTTACACAAACCTCAAACTTTTATTATATTGGTGTGTGTGTCTAATAAAATGATTTCAGAATAAATAAGCCGCATATAAGATTGATTAGCCATGCAATACCTCCGATAATATCGTTGACATAATATTAGTAAGGAACACATTGCCGAATTTTCTGTTTATTTGGTCATAGTTTTTATTTACACAAAATAAACTGTTAGTGAAGAAATTTATGATAATGGTGAATAATAGCTATGGAGATTCGATTTTCAAGTGGAATACCTTGCATCAGATTAGAAAATAATGAGCCAGCAATGGAACTCATATCAGCAAGATCAATACGGCATGACTCTGCTGTGTTAGTGTCATCAAAGAAAGACGAATATGAAGATATTAAAATAAAATCATCTGTAAGTTCTATCGATCATTCTCGCAAGACAAAGAAGATAGCAGAATGTCTATGTGGAATTTAACAGATTCTCCAGTTATATTTCCATTATTTGTTATAGGTACACAATCAACACAAATATCAAGAAAAAATATATATAGTTATTATTATTATTACTGTTGTTGTTGTTGTTGTTGTTGTTGTTGTTGTTGTTGTTGTTCTAATACAGTTCAGAACACTTTACTTGATAAATCAAAAAGTAAGAAAATACATTAAATCAAATTTATACTTAATACATCAAGCTAAGTTACGATCAAGAAAAGCGAAGAGTTATAAATTATTAAAAAAAGAAGTTTTCTTGTGATTGTAACGGAATAATTGCTAAAATGATTCGATATATAGTTTTACAATTCAGAACGAGTGGAGTTGGTCTATATGTAAAAAATCTTATAAATTTTAAACATCCATAACCAAACATTTAATTATTAAGCACTACTGCCCTTGGGTAAATATTTTTGTTGTATTGCGGATATACTTACATTCTTCAAATATTGGATTTAGGTTTATGCACATTTCTCTTTCGTTTTTAAAATATAAATCTGATTATGATGCAGTTAAAAAAAATCAGGAAAACCAAATAAGAATATAAAAAATGAAAAGAAGGATGCATACAATGTAGATAGAGGTACTATTGGAAGCTATTTATAATTCTGTTATCTCAGAAAAATTCAAATACATTTTTCAAGAACAAAATGACTGCAACTATGTCAAATAAACCTAATACTCTAGAAATGTACATATATCAGATTAATAAATAGAAAATAGATTAGAGCAATTAATAAACGTAAATTGTTAATCGTTAACAATTAAACTTTATCTTTTTAAAAGTTCTAGAATTCTATACCCACTTTTACATAGATTTTGAATAAACTTACTCTCATTTATGGCTATTATATATAATGCATGTCTTTGAATTTGAAACAAAAACTTTTGGCCATTAAATTTGCTTCACGACTAATCTTCAATATACTACGTGAATTTTCTTTTCTATGTTATATTTAAGATCACAAGAACTGTACAGTATAACTCTACTCATAACGAACTAAAGTTTTTAATATATAAATCATTGGTTTCTCAGTATCCATTATATGGACAGATGTCTATATTTTTAGGAGACACTTAAAATACATCAATCATGAAAGAAAAATATTGCGTGAAATAGATTGAAATATTTTTATTAATAATTATTTTTAATTACAATAATTTAATTTGTAAGTGAAATAAATTAAGAAGATCATTACTTATAAATAATACAACAATAACAGTACATGAATGATGGCTGCTATTCTTATCCTCACACAGTACGAAAATAGAATACACTGAATTAAACGTCATAGTAAAAGAATTTTTATCGAACAAAATATTCAAGTTTATTCTCCGTACAATATTACCATTTATACGTAAGTTTTTGTCAGTTTAGTAAAATAATACATTTTGTTTTGTTCATTTATGGAATACAGTGATACTGAATGTCGTCTGTAACGTTCGAAAAATAATACTGTTGCAACTAGCCCTGGTAAAATCCCTCTACGTCCGTTAAAAAAGTCGTCATTCGTCGCTCGAAAAAGCTTCACAGTCGCAATTCTTTACATCATCAATCGTCCCGCTCTCGCACAATTAATAAATAATAAATGTATTAGTTAGCTTCATTGGTATTGGAAGGTGCCTGAGCGGAGTAGGCAAGGTTCTGCGCATCGACCTTATCATTAAAACTCCTGTAATATCCTTGTCCTTGAACATTGGCACCAGTGTTCCAACCCTGGTTATTGTCGTACCATGTACTTTGTGGGTTCTTGTTAAATATGTTACCACCAAATCCATTGCCGATTGTAGCACCACCGCTGAACAAACGTTGGAAAGCGATGATACCGGCGATTAACAAGGCGATCTTGCCGACAAAAAGAGCTTTAGCAACGATTAAAGCTAAACCACCGAGAAGAATGGGTACAAGAGCGAAGATCTTGAGTCCGGCTGCGGCGATCAGGGGAAGAATTAGCTTCTTTAGCTTAGCGCGGCCTGAAATATTGAAATTTTTTAACGCTATTCTCAGCATTGAAATATAAAAAATCTAAAACGAAAGTTAGATTCTAATGAAACTTTTTCGTAATACGCGGTAATTTAAATCAAATCTTTTTTGTTTTTGTTTACCTTTTGCTGTGGTTACTGTAATATTACGTAGCGTTTCGACGTCACAGAAAAAATGTGTAAATGAAAGTATTTCCGACTCACATAAAAAATTCTGGTGAAAGTAATATCATCATCACCTCGAGGAAAGTTATGACGTCAATTATACAAGGATCTTATTGTGTAACTTAAATTTAATCGTTCGTCATTTTGGGTTATGGATGAACTTATCATGACTTTAATTATTTTACTTATTTTTCTTATTTATTAATTTTTAATTTACTAATAATAAAAATCTATCTACTGTTTCAAAAGTACAAGTCACGGGCTAAATGCAACCTATAATACTGCACTAATTAAAGGTATCCAATTAATAATCATGAGTCAACATACCTTCAGTAAGCGCGCGTGACATTGAGCCTTCGGGGATGTCAACTTTCAGGCTGTGACTCTTGAGAAACGATATTGCAGATTCGTAGAGCATGGTAGCAATATCAAGAGTTCTATCAGTCGCATCACGTGGCAATTGTTCAAGTAGTTCTTTTTCGGATTTGAGCGACTTGCCACTGCGTTCAACTGTTAATATCATTGATTAGCAAATGAAATATATTTTTCATCAAATGGTAACTATTAAACTTTTAGAAAATTTGAGTAATCAATTTTTATTTGATTTGATCAAATGAATATCATGTAAAATTAATTTCTTATGACAATGGAAACTGAAAATTAGTTTGATTTGTTATAAGTTCAAATTATAAACTCATAAAAAGTATAGTACTCATAAAAATTTTTTACTATTCTGTTTTTAAGTGCATCTTTAACGATTTCACGTTACAAAACTTACTTGGTGTGTCTCTCACGAAAGTAATCCCTTCGATGATCTTAAGATCAGCCGATCTTGTCGCTCTGTCGAGTGCAGTGGCTGCTTTTATGGCCCAACAACTTAGAACATCATCGTCATGATGCATACAATCTAATCCTTGTGACTCGGGAGCTGGGACAGCGAGCGCCGATACGATCAGAAGAGCGAATGCTGCGTACTTGTGCATGGTGATAGTGGTCTTTTGTTAACTGTTACAACAGAAAAAGTTCATTAAATTGTTTTACCTTGTTAGTTCATTTTTATGAAACTAATATTATTGAACTTTGTATAAAAAATCTTAGACGATCATGTATTTGTCTGCTGTCTTTTTAAGAAAATTTAATCAGGTATTAAAGAATATAATTCATATGTATATTATTCACTTATATTTTATAATTTTAGTTAGAAATAAGAATCTAATAATATAATTGAATATATTAGGTTCAAACGAGCATGAGAAGTTTAAAACTTGTCCTTCAGCAAATTATATACACTTTTATGGAAACGAATTTTTCAATCAGTCAAAACCGCACTATGGGTAAATTTGATTCCAATAAAAAATAAAGTCTGGTTGATAAAAGCTTTTGACATAAGTTAATCAAATATAAAGTATCAAATAATACATAGTATTACACTTTTACAGTTTCCGAAACACTTTTAAAATATAATTTTTTTTAAGTACTTTAAAAGCAGCACTAGTTGATCACTGGCAGACGTACAATAACTTGTGCACTATCACTTACTTTGGATAAACCGATCTTGGTAAAAGGAGAGAGCACGTGGTGTACTTTTGAGAGCGAGTCTTCTTTCAGACACGTCTTACAGACAAATTTTCAAAGCCGAGTCTGACTTGGCCCTGGTTCGAGCTTCAATCTTTATAGGTGCGACTGCCCCTTTGTTCCCGTATGCGTGGCCCCCCACCTTTTAGTCGTCGTCTTCTTACGCATCACACGCATAGCACGAGTGTGACGACGATTCGTCATCTCTTTTTCGCTCTCTCTCTCTCTCTCTCCCTCTCTCTCTCTCTCTCTCTCTATTTCTCCTCAACTTTCTTCGATAATTTTTTAAACAAACCCAAGTGCTGACTATAGGTTAACCTGAATTTTTTCTCACGTGTTACATTTTTCTGTGGACACATTCTTGTTTTCGTGTCATGATTGAACATTTTTTAAATAGACTTCGGATGAACGAATATTTTTCTATTACCAATGACATTGCACTTTCGTTGATGTACATTTTTACTACGTGGGATATTTTAAATCGGTTCATTGAACTAGGACATTGACTTTCGATTTTTAGAATTTTTTATTTCCTTTTCATTTTAATCTTGTATAATTATTACGAAGAAAATCAAGAATCAGTTGAAGATAACATATGTCGACTATTTGTAAATTAAAAATGATATATATATTTGTTATCTTCGTACATTAAAAGTAGTTTCTATTGTTAAAAATAAGTTAACAATGGATTATTATAATATAATTTCGGTACGAAATGAAATGGGAGCACATCAGTATTAACAGTGTAGCTTCTTATATTGGATGGTAGTTAAATATTTTTTGAAAGCCTTGGAATTTTTAGTACGCAAACTAAATAAAAATTCAGGATGTCAAGTGGGCATCTGTTTACTTCCCTAATGTATATCTTTGATTTTTTCAATTTTTGCATTTATAATCAACTTCAATACTTTTGAGTGTTATTATTTAGTTTCTATAGATTTTGATATTGAACATAATTTTTCATTGTAAGTATTGTTTTTGTATACATAAAAGAATATCTCTTTTATAAATAACAAAAATGTATTTGTATTCTAATTTTTATATAATCTCAAAGGCTTTGGATGCTTATACGTTTATATTTAAAAAAGAGATAATGCTCATAATGTAATATTATAGAAAAATATCTAACTCAAAAAATTTCACCAAAAGTCGTGTTCTCAATCCAAAAAGCACAAGAAACATTCGATTCCGAGAAACCGTATCTGAAGGTGTCAAACACGTGAGATGAATGGATCGCAAAGAAGAGCGAACAGGCAGGTAACTACTTTTTTGTTTGTGCATTATTTAGTTTTGTCGCCACACCTGTCCAACCGCAGTTTCTATTCTTGCGGTCCGTACGGGAACGAATTTGTCAAAATTTCTTTTTTCTTGCGGTGCACACACTTTCACAAATATAACATCTAAGAGATAAAAAATTATTTATGACGTGACACAAGTAATTAGTTTTTTACATGTTGGTAGACTTTGCGTTTTCCACAGTTGGTAGATGAGTGTTTACACTGGACTTAAGGAAAAGTATTATGGCTGTTTATCCATAAGCCAAGTAGGTAGCAAGAAGAAATGTTCACGAAAAAAATATTTTGACAGAAGTAAATAACAGTACATATTCAAACAAGAATACATAGTAATTTTTTTCACGTGCTTTGCATATCTACTTTGATATTATGTTTATATTTCGATAAGACTAAACTATATTTATTTCACTGTAATAATACATAATCTTTTTATCAGAAGTAAATTTCTTCTAGTAAAAAGATTTTATCTCTTTAACATAATTTATTATGTACAGAAAGAAATCAAAAGTCACTCAATTATGTGTAAGCAATTTTACAAGTCCATATCTACTACGCCACCATGTAACGGTTATAACTTAATAAGATTAATGTATCGATAAACTCTTATCTCATGACGTCTCGTAAACATAATGTATGCGATTCAAATTCCTCTTTTTGACGTATATCTAAGTTATTCGCGTAAATACCATAATACGCGCGTGCACTTTCTGATTTCGAAAGTGAATAAAAAAGCCACATTGCAGCCGGTTTGCCTTGACCTAAAGCTGACTGGTTTCCTGGATGTTACGTAACTCGGATGCTTCCTTTTTCATATTCCTTTCTCAATGGACCGTTTTGTTAAAGAATTATAAAGTTATTAAAAAATATTGTGATCAAAAGGTCAATGGACTGTAAGAAGTCCTTGTTTTTAGAAATTCGGTGGTCCTAAAACAGAATTTTCTGTTATATAAATATAAATTATTGCTTTCATTGAAGTAACTATATATTGCCATTCGTGAATGTTTTATTTTAATTTTCATTCAAAATTAGCGCGAATAACGTACGTAAAGGAGATCACGTTGAGATTAGAGGCGATATAGTTGTTTAATATTCATGACAACATATCATTAGGTAAAAGTGATAATTCTAAGCTTCTTATTCGCAAAATCAGAGTAACGGTATTTATTTTCAAATATTGCGACATCGCGTACACACAGAGAATTAACATATCATTAGCAAATCCTTTGAATAAAAAATAACTCGGGTAGATTCAGACGTTTTCACTTTTTTTTGAAAAAGCTGTTGGCGCAACAAAAAGAATTGAAAATCCATGTTACGCCGAATTACGAGTATTAGCTATAACGGCATTCCTTTGAAAGAGTAAAACGGATAACAATCGCTACCAATAGGGATTTATGGTTTTAATGGTCGATTAGCACACACGTCAGCTAGAAAAAAGTGTATACCGTGAAAGAGCCGCGAAGAATTTCAAGATTGCCATCAAGGTCAGCTGAGAAAGTCACACATGCTTACTTTAAATAGAGTGATTTATCTATTGTAATTTTTGATATAATCGTAATAAAATTGAAAAAAAAATCATTAATGAATTATTTTTTAATTTAATGTTTGTTTGAAAAAAATTTATTAATGAATTATTTTTTATTTTAATGTTATAATGAAAGTACCAAAACCGTTGTGTTGCATAAAGTTTCCGAAATACAACGTCTGCGAAATTACCAAAACCGAAGGAAAAAGCATTTAAGAGCAACAAAATTTTAAGTATCTTCCCAGTAAATGTAGTCCAAAGCGTCGTTAAAGTCAAAGTGAAACCGTCTTTTACCGAAGCTTCAGCCCATTGTACTCCATCTCGGCCGCATGTACATATTCTCTTTAAATATTTAACAGGCTGCCACATGGGTTCGTCATCTTTTTTTAACGGTACTCGACACTCGGCATTTCGCTTCGGCGTATCGACATTTTCGGGCTCCTTTTTTTCTTCTTTCTCCGACGCGGGCTTCTAAGGAAAGAGATCAAGAAAGAATATTTTCTCTGCTGAAAATGGAAAGTTGCATCGCATGAGAAAGAGAGAGAGAGAGAGAGAGAGAGAGGGAGAGAGAGAGATAGAGAGAGAGAGTTTTATACTGTGGCAATAAATATTTAAATATTAGAGGTTTTCTACATAAAGATGCTATGAGTTATAATATCATCTAGAAAAATAAAAATTGTTATCAATTAATATTTAAGTTTTAATACGTAGCTTATTAATTAAGTAAAATATTTAAAAAATGGCGCATGTCTTGCGAAACGTTATGCACCTTGTATAAAAAGCCTTATAGTTTTCACTACACGTATCATTGATTCGTGAAAACAAGAGTTTTTGCTTTTAAAATGGTAATTTTATTGTATTGTATTTTATACATATTTACAATTAAGAAATTTATAATCAGGTTTATCACTATTATATTATTATGATAAGGAAATACCTCAAATATTATTATGAATTTCATATTTATTTATTGGTATTAAATAATGAAAAATAATTTTAAAGAGATTTCATCGCTATATTTAAAATTTAGAAAAAAGCATTATATCACGTGGAGTATTACTAAAATGGCATAATATTCAGTACTTGATTGAAAGCAAGAGTACGCAGAATAGCAAGTGAAATTGGTAACCCAGATTTACTCCAGACTTAAATTGACGTCAAAAGCGGAACGCATCAGATGCGCACACACGATGCAAGTTTTTATAGACCCGACCCGAACATGAAAAAAAAGAGGGAAAATACAAGTCGTGCGTGCGCATGCACATTTACTCACGCGCGGGTAAATAAAGAGGCAGGGAAATAAAAAAGTGAATTTCAGAAAATGGAAAGTGGCCCGAAAAAAAAAAACGAAGACAGCGGATGTGTACATGTGCATACATTTGACGGAGAAAACTGGCACGTGTTAATCGGAGAAATTTTTCGAAGACTCACTGGTATGCGTGTGTATTTGCGCGAACATTTGCATGCGGAGGCAAACCGATTATACTCAACAAAACCATTGTTACTTCGCGAAACGGTAATAAACCACGTGAAAGCGACTTTGTTGAATTAATTCCAAACGATTATATTTCATGAATAAATTTTTGTACTGTGAATCACTTTATGGGTTCATACTTCCTGCTGAGATATGAATTTTAACAGATCGACTTTGTTATCGCATTCGTCATTTTAGAACAATCGATTAACTGGATTTGTATATCGGTAGTGTAGCGGATTTAGGTCACCAGTGTTTGACTATTTTACATGTATTTATCTTGAAACAGATTCTGTAGGAGTAGTTTATCTTATACTTTTCTTCAGTTCGTTATTCTTCCTTGTCTTTTATCTTTTTATAAATTCATTTTTAGTTGATACGTAAACAAAGCATCTAGACTGAACTAACTGTATTTTTTTAAAGTACTACTTGTCGAAAATGTATACGCTGTTTCCGATTCTGTCATTAAATAATTATTCTTATAAAACTGATTTATTAGCTACATATTGACAGATTTCATTTATTTGTATGAATCTTATATGATTAAAGGTAATTAAAAACAATATTCAAATCTTCTAGCCCTAAGACTAATATTCCTATGGTATGCTTAATAAAAATTTTTGAAGCTTCGAAAAAATGTTACCCGACGGGAATAATTTCACTGGATGAAATAATAATCAGCATCTGTTAATTCAGTGGAGTATGATATATTAATACCTCCTTTCCCAATTGCCCATTTATGGTTACTGTCAGGTAGTGGATCTACAAGTATGATAATTTTTGAAGAATTCCTATTTATAATCCATTCATTTACTCTCATATCAAATACTTAGTGCACTCACACAAAATTTCATAGGAACTAAATGTTGTATATGTACTTCCACGAACTTTGAAAACCGCTACTGCACCACTATCAGCCATACATTTTTAAAATTCAACGTTTTTTTAATAATCATCTTAATTGAACTATTTTTTGTAATATTGATATTGGCTACTTTACATACGTACTGGTTTAATTATAATATTCAAAATGAATGTGCGTTTATGCCAAAATGAAAAGAACTCGAACAAAATTATTTTATTGCTAACCAAGTAAAAAAAAATTATTTTTCGTGAATATTGAAAAGCGCGCCAAGTTCATTTCCAAGATGATACTGTTGTTTTCCAGACATCTACACATTTTGGTTTTCAAATCATTTACAATTTTTGTATGAGAAAGATGACAAGAACAAGTAAAATTTAGCGCGATGATTTATTTATACATAAAAAAAGAAATGAAAATTAAGCTACAAATGAAAATTTCTAACAAACTTGATCTCCAATACTAGCGTATCGAATGAAAATTGCTAGAGCATCGAATGTTTCTCGACCAACAGGAATAATATTTTTAGGTGGTGGAGCGAATCCATATCTACCACCAGGAAGTTCCACAGCGTATGTTATTCCGGCGTCCGCCTCAGACATAGCCCAGTCCATACTACTACCTGATGCTGGATCTGTAGTAACAGAATGTTTAATATTAATAAAGCAGTTTGTTATTTTATACTATTTCCGTTAGCACTTACATAAAACTTCGATGGTGTTACCAATTGTATATTCGTGTTGTTGGTGTTTGTAAATTGCAGCTGCGGCTGCGTGAGCAACGCATTTCTAGAATCATATAATAAAACCAATAATATTTCGAAATAGATACTGAGTAAAAGTCATCATGAGAGTCAACTCACAAGATGTTTTTCAGCCTTCGGCGGAGTACTAGTGAATGCCCAAGGATATAATAAGTACTAGAATGTAAACAATTTTTAGAAATATGTACCATTGATGATATATCACGCGTATATGAAATAAAAGTATACTTGTCCATATGAATGGAGAGTGATATATGTTCTGATTCTGCCTTTCAGCGACAGCAAAAAGTCTCTAAGAGCAATGGTTTCTGGCTCGGAAAATGCACTAGGTCCGGCATAGGTATCGCTGCATGGGTTCGATGATGCTCCAGTACCTAATTATTATCAAGTATTATAAATTGTCCACATTAATAACCATACTCAACTTACGACAAGGTAAATACTAAAGTACTCACTCATCCATGAAATGTCAAAGTTTCGATTTGCATCAACGCCACGACAACGAACATTTGTCGAGTGATTAGAACGAGTTTTCCTCCATAGCCTAGACTGTAAATGATATAATAAATTTGAAAACAGACCATTAAATATAACTAATTTATACAAAAATACAAATCTTTCAATCAACTTACAAAAGCGTTTCGATGGCTGTATTCATAACCGTCGGGGTTGATTGAGGGGATTATGTAAATATCGACATCTTGAAAAAGGTAATGATTTGCTGTATTTTTAACGAGCTGATCGATGGCATAAAGAGCTGTTGTTGGAGCAATCCATTCTCGAGCGTGAATTCCAGCATCAATGACCACAACAGGCTTGTTACCAGTTCCATTAGAGATTTTTATACCTAACAAATCACGGCCTTCGTAACTTTTGCCAATGCTGAAGAGTTCCGCGATATTGCTATATTGTTTTGCGATTCTTTTCAGATAACTAACAATCTATAAAATATTTTCATTCAATGTATTATTAATAGAAATACAAAATTAATTTAAGTCAAAAAATGTAAAACATTCAAAAATACAATATTGATCAATAATTCCCTAAAAATTTATTTCATAAATTGTGAAAAATAATATGAAAATTAAAATGATAAAAATGTTACCTCGTTATATCGTGGAAAGGCCTTTAATATATCATTTGAACGTAATCTGTGAGCTCGCTTTTGTAAGACAAGATTTCTCTCAATTACTTTGCTCACATCTTCAAGAAAAACTTTGTATTTAATATTTTTCTTGTTCAAAAAATCCTTGAAAGAATCTAATTGTTCCGGAGCTACAAGAATTTCGATCGGCGAGTCAGGGTTACGTGGCAATTTCAAAAAATCAAAGCCAGGTTGACCCTCCAAATTACTTATATAGTCACGTTGCTCACTAGTATCAGTTTTAATGCGAAATCCTTTCATGCTAATATGAAAATACATAAAAAGTTAATGGTATTCATACATAGCAGGGAATTCGATGTTTTGAATAATCATAAAATAAATTTAAATTGGAAGAAATTTTTAACAAAATTTAGTAAAATAATAATTTAATACATATGTGATAAAAGTATTACTGCTTAGAGAGTACTGCATAGATCTTTGCTAAGCTTTTAGTTATTTGAACCGTAAAAAACTTTAATAAAACATAATTATTAGAATATGGCTCACACAATTTTACCAATAGAACAAACTTTTACAGAAAGTTAACAAAATCATACGATACCCATAAATGGAAGGTTGATATTCATCTTGAGCGAACGTCAGCACGGCGAAACTAACAAAAATCACTCCAATCGCCCTCATGTTTGTTTAGTTTATGATGTTACATATGAAGTCCCACATCAATTTATAGGTATGCAAATTAAACAAACAAATGAATTATTGATCATGAAGAGTAATTTCAGTTGACGTGATTTACATATGATTCAGCTAAATCCTTGTAATGGCAGAAAATATAGTTATTTTGGTCGATACATCTGGATGAATTCATTAAATAATGAAAAACAAGGTTCAATGAAAGATAAAAAGTTCGTTTAGATATATTAAGCATACTTGGCATAATTTTGCTGCTTAACGACTATTTTGTTAGTCAGAATTTTCCATTCGTTTGCATTATATCAATATTACTTTTTATTATTTATTGACTAATCATATAATTTTTGCTAAATCCAAATCGGTTTATATTTTAGCTTTTTTCTCTAGAACATCAAAAAGTTTCTATATTTTCATTAACATCAATGCGATCTTATTTGTTACTCCATTTCAATAATGTTAATTTTAAATTAGTGTTTTATGAAAGTTTTTTACTTTAGATTTCTTCTTCTTTGATAAATAACATATAACAAAGATAAAGGCAAATAAAAACTTCATTATATAACGCCGTCTTTCAATGATATCTATAACATCGCGAATCAAATGTTTAAGCAAACTTAATCTACTGAGCATACAAGTGTTTCAAATCAATTAATTTTGTCACTTGAGAGATTCCAGTACAATGTAAAAAAAAGTAAAAAGGCTCATTTAAAAGACATAAAGCAAAACTTCAATGCAGATAATGTGTAATTTATTAGTTACTGATTTATTAAACACTAATTTTTACTGAAAGTCTTCTTACATTATCTGTTATAATTTTTTATGTCTTACTCGGAAAAATTAGTTTGTAATGTATAAATTTTTTAATATTTTCAAAAATATTTCTGTAATTAATATAATAATAATAATATATGTCTCTTTTTCTTATAAAACGCTTATAAATATCGGCAGGTCGTATCCGACGAAATGTTATAAAGAAAACTTGCTTGCTTTTACATTTGAAAAACCTTGCTCTTGTCAGATTAACGATTTGATCTTCAATCGACTGAAAATGTTCTATAAAAACTTTTGAATAGCATTATAGACATCATTAATTGTGATTACAAATCTTGATGTATCAACGAATACTAAAAGAAATAATTTTATAATAATCCTGTATGAGAGTATCGATCAGCAATCTAGATTTATATTTAGATAAATCGAATTGTTTAATAAAACGTTTATAATAAAATAATATAGCTTTATTTATAATAAAACAATAGACTATAGAAATATTGAATCACAATTTGTCTAGCCACCTTCGAAGGTTTACGTGTGAACCTATAAAAATGTAAAATATATTGAAAAGTAAATAATTTACAGAATCGATTCTATTGTTAAATGTTTGTTATATAGTAAAATGGTATTCTAATTATTTGTCCGAAAAAATAAATAGGAATGTATACCTTAACTGTGTCATTTTGGCTTGTTTCATTTCATGGGTACGATGATGCTCCAATACCTAAATATTTGACAAAACTTTAGTTGGTGAATCAGAGCTACATGTACAGATTGAATTCTCGTATTTATTCGCGAAAAAATATTTATTAGTAGTATCATAGATGAAGCGGAATTATTTAAGAATATTTGAGAAATTATAAGATATTGCTAAATCGATCTTTATGAACCAATTTCATTTTTACTGTTGTATGCTTTAGGAATAAGAATTTTAACGTATTATGTTGATTACTTAATTTTATAAGTAATAAGTAAAAAATGATCGTAACTAACAAAAATATATAGCATGGAGGTTTATATTGTATAGTTAATTCATTTAATCATATTGTATTATGCTTTATTAGTTATTCAATTTATTAGTCAATGAAAAAAAAGAATAAAGAAACTTTAAAGTAAATTTACATACAATTTTCAACTAAACCCGCATATTTTATATAATTTTATATTTCTAAGGATGGCAATCACACGGGCGAAACTGGACAACACGTCCCGTATATAGCGAGCGGATTCGGTGGAAGATAAGCGTACGGTTTGGGAAAAACCTTTTAGGATAATGAGTAGGTGACCCGCCGTCATTCGGGTAAGGCGAGGGATAATCGTTTTCTCGGCGTTTTTCGTGTTGAAAACAGACGCAAGGACGGGCTGACCAACATATGCGGGCCATCGGAAAAAGATTGTGCATCTCCTCGTGAAAACCGGCGTGCCGAGACAATGATGGATTTTCCATACCGTTTCCCCAGTCAATGAGGTCATCAACGTCCCGCTTGTGAGCGCACGTGCGGAACATGCTTCTTAGATACGTAAGCGTGCGAAAAGTATGTAAGAATATTGGGTTTAAGAAGCGAGTATGAGGTCAACACAAGAATTTGTACACGCGGCTACGAGTAGAAGCGTGAGTTCGAGTGAGGTAGGTGGATTGGGTGGATTTACATAATGATCGGCACCTCTCCACCGGGCTCGTCCGACGGGTGCTACCGTTAGATAGATTCAGAGCCGCATGCCACAGCTCGAGGCAACACGAGTGCCAGGTGCTCTCTCGAGGCTGTTATGACCATTTTCCGAGAGGGAGAAGATCATGATTTGGCAATTGCGACCCTCAATTCAAGCGGGGTTAGAGCGTGAAAGAGCGCAATTCAACGCAAGCCATATAACTTCGGGGCCTTCGGTCTCACCCCCTGCGACAGCAGCGCGAATGGTATTGCGCAGCAGAGAGGAGAGAAAAATCTAAGAGGAAAGGAGCGACAAGACGTCAGAATGACCTCAGCGCTCGTCCAAGCAAGTTACAACGAGCACCTTAAGCGAGACATTGTGGCTGAAACTTTTTTGTAACCGGTTAATTTCAAAAATTAAATTGGATGATGTGCGTTAATGAAAACGTCAACATCGATTACTTGCTCACCCATCTCTAAGATCAATGGCTTTTCATGAAAATTAACGATTTTCTTCTCTCAAAATATATAATTTATATGTACAGAACTCGTGCACCAAGTTGGGCGCCAATTTCATAACATGAATAATAATAGCAAATAACAAAACATTCGTAAATAAGCCTAGAATAATATTACCTTTCAGCACGTTCGATTTCAGTCTATAAGCATAATAACCGAAAAGTGAAAGTTTTCGCAGCAATAGTCTTATAAATTAAAACGAGTAATATAGAGATAGAACATACGAATAATTTATCAATTAACATCACTTGGCTCATACCACAATATCATTTTAATGAGTGATGTAAAAACAATTGTCACTTCAAACACTTTCTTATTAATCATAGAATTTACTCTATGGTAACGAAGAAAAGATAATCAAATGTATTCAAATCAAATTTGTTTTTAAATAACTAATACTTTTTACGGAAATGTAAAATTTCATTTTATATAAAAAATAATTTTACGATACGAATGAATTGCAAGACTCGCAAAAAATATTATCGTACTGGATAATGAATGTCATACTCATTTGTCCGTACGAGTGTATGGTAATGTAGATTTTGACGTTTCCATTGAACGACAATATGAAATCTCGTAGAGTAGAGCACTTCCCGGTTTAAAGAATGCCTTCGGACCAGCGTAAGTGACATTGCATGGAAATAAGGAAGTTCCGTATCTTTATTGACGAAAAAAAATTTTTATTTTCATTAAAAAATACTATTATGAGAGAACTTAACGTACTTTGCTATTCAATATCGAAATTTCAGTTAGCATCAACTTTCCAATACAGTAACATTAGGTTATATCATCCGCGTTTTCCTCTGAAATTTTGACTATAAAATGCACCTAATATTATTTCCTTCAAACAACCTGTATATGAACTCAGAATGTACTTACACTAACATTTTGATAGCTGTACTTATACCTATCGGAATGGAGCGATGAAATAATGCGAATATCAACATCTTGAAAAAGATTTTGATTTTTCAGATTTTCTACAATCTGATTTATAGCATATACAACAGTACTTCAAGCTGACTTTTATGTAGTTAATGTCTTTGTTATGTTGCTGTTCATTTCTTGTTTTTTATTATAAAGCTCTCTCGATAATTTTCTTGAAATCGTACGAGAATACTTCGTATCTGATGTTCATTTATAAAATAGCTTAAGTTGATTTGGATTTACTTAAAATACATCATTTTTTTGTAATAATCCAAGTGTAGTACTAAAAATGTGAGAAATTCTGAAATTACCTTGTTTTATGGGTATCATATTATAATTAAGATATGTAAAAAAATTTCATAAAAACTTATAAAAACTTTAATAAATAAAAATTAATTATTAATTATTAATTATTAATTATTAATTATTACTTCATTTAATAAAAACTTTGATTTGTTATTATTAAATTTATAATGGAAGAGTTTATTTCAAATTTGTTTGAATAAATTATTATTTATAGTTATTGCATTCATTCGCGTTTTCCAAATTAATGTTAATCGCAAATAAATTAATAGAAGTATATATTAAATCAATTGTATTTTTTAAAATACAATTTAGATAAATTAAAATTGATGAGAAAAGTTGCAACTACAACGTAATCACGCTCAAAAGTGGAAGCTACTTTGTTATGATAGGTAATACTATCTGCTAGAAAGATAAAGTTCAATTGATTTACTTAATAGACCTTTTGAGTTAGAAAAATCTTTTATACATTGCAAATTTACAGTAAAAATACAAAACATATATTAACAAGCAATTTCTCCTACGGTGTGCCTGATGAAAATTTTAATTGCTTCGAAGGTTTCGCGACCAACAGGAAGAATTTCTTTAGGCGGTGCAACAAATCCATATTTCCCATTGGGCAATTCGATTGTATAGCTCGTTTCAGTGTTGGTTTTACCCAATGCCCAGTCTACACTCGTTCCTGAAGTTGCATCTGTAATTAAATAATTTGTATGATTTCATATTTTCGTAGATTTTAACGCATGTTTTATTGCAAATCAGATTCATACATAGAAGTTAAACAGATTGTACGAAAATTGTAAATATGTACAATTAGAT